ACATGGGAAAGAAAGAACCTGAGTAGTATCACAATATCTCAGATCCCATGACTCCTGTTTTTAAATAAAGCAATAGACATTTTAACGGAACTGAGGATTTTAATGGAACACTCTACTTCCTGACTAAAAATACATCTTCTGAAAAACACGACCAAGCTGTTGTGTTGTTTAAAACTGCAGAAAAAAGACTGACAGAAGACAGACAAGGAAGCAACATGTTACAAGAAGTGAATTCTACCTACAAAATACCTTTTACAAGTTAGCAGTATATTGGATTTGCTTTTTTACTAGGTCCATGATAACATTTATTAGATGCTACTTTCATTCCTGCCAATGTCAGAAGCAGAGCTTTTTTCAAGTGGTTTTATTGAAAACAAATTTCTCATATGGCTAGGTTGCCTTGTATCTAAAGCAGAAATGCATCAAAACTTTTTAGTCAGCTGTCAGGAGCTTCTTTTGGCAAAAAGTACTATGTGGACACAATTTAATGGCAAGAATAGTCTGAAAAAATGCACAAAGAGTAGAAATTAACACTGGATTACAGGCCCTCCTAAAAACTCCTGCTTCTGCCACTGCCTGCAGAAAATATTTGCATTCTTCTATGCTCAGTTTCCCTATCATGTATGGTAATTGTGATATACATGATTTCCCACATAATAACACTCCTCTAGGATCTTCAAAGATACATTAGAGAGGTCTGAAACTCTGAATGGTTCATAACCTCTGTTGTACGTCCAACAGAAAGAGAGTGGGATGGAACAGGAGGGAAGGAAACTGGCTAAGCTGTTTTCCGTGCTCAAACAAAAAAGCTTAAAGAAATTTCAGTTTTAGGGTATTTTCCGCTGTGCCTGCTATTGAGTCAGAGTACCATATCTGGATGAGTCTTTCTGAGAGAGTTCAAAACAAAGGATTAATAACCCTTCTCAAGGGCTATTAATCCATGACCAAAGGCTGGCAACATTCAGAAGGGAACACATACCCATGCTTTAGGTGTTCCAGTTTGTACTTTTAATATATGTATTGCCTTAAACTGTTGACAAAGGTGAGTAAATGGATGCAGTGAGAAGCAGGCACTTTTTCCATCTGCTATGAAGAGTCAACAGGACTTTGGAGAACAAATTAATACAGTAGCATCTTGGCTGCTGACATTTTTATGGACTAGTTGACAAACCTTTTCACCAGTGTAACAGACTCAATGTTTGTTACATTAGCACCACTTTCAAATTAAACAAGTCATATAAATTGTACTCCATATGCACTTTATTACATTGTCATTATTACAGATTTTAAAAGTGCTGTAGCTGAGAGACATATTTCAAGGATGAAATAAACCTTCACAAGCAGTGCAACTCTTTAAGTATCAAAGCTGATTTGATGAGATAGTCAGTTAAATTCTAAGCATGACAGCTAAGTATTGCAGAAACACTACAAAATATGCTATCACCTGCTGGAAGTTCATTCAGAGAAGCACTTTTTACTACAGGATATACACAGCAGCCCACGTCAAAGGAAGCTGGAATTCCTGTAAACCTTAAGGAAAGGTGAAACCCGAGCAGGAGGACGAATGAAGGACAGATAACAGGGTGCTGAGGTTGAGAAAAGTTGTATTTAAAAGTATGTGTGTGTATGAATCAGGCGGTAAGTAACAGACAGGAGGGGGGAACATGCCTGAAGAGGTGACAAACATGATGTTTGATGAGAAGATTTTTGGGTCAGACATTGAGCAGTCACATGTAGATACACCTGCTGCTCAGTACAGCAGTTCTTACTCTTGGACTAATTTGAAAAGTGTAATTAATCTTCCTCAGAGGCCTCTGAACCTGAAGACAAAGTGATTTCTGATTGCTGTTAGAGAATACACATCAAGAATTGCCCCATGGTTATTTTGCTGATGTAGTTTTATTTCCTGCTTTTCTTTATTACCTTCCTTCCTGCTCTTTTATTTCTCTGCTCTTCCAGGATGGAATAGGTTGATGTATATTTTCTTCCTATTCCTGAACTATTCAGTTCAGAATGAGCAAAAATATCCCCAGAGCATGCAGGTATTCTACCAGCACAATACTTTCAGGACTATGACCCTTCTGTGTCTTTTAACACCCCCTGGGATCCTCTCAGCTGGAGAAAGACTGTGTGACTTTCTCAGGCCTCCATTCAATCTTTTATTCTATTTATTTTTACCTATGGGTATTTTTACCTATGTAGCTGCCACTTTGTTGAGTCTCTCTAAGGCACGAATTAGTCACCCACTTGCTAGTGCATAGCTTGTAACTGTATTTCTTTTCTCTTGATCTCAAGTTGCAGCAGTCCTCCAGAGTTAACATCTTAGATGTGGGGGGACTTTGGTAAGTAGTTTTTGTGACATCAGTAGCCTGATCTGGTACTTCTGTGTGTCTGCCACTGTGTGTATGAATACACCCAGCAGGATAACATTGGCATATTTGTTTTAAACATGCACTGAAATGCATGACAGAAATTGAACAAATAACAGAATTAGATACTATCACTCACAAAACCAAAATAGCCCATCAAAACATGTTACTTTCCCTCTAGTTATTCTCTTTCCTAACTGAAACAAACTTTCATGCATCTTAGTTAAGCATCTAAAAAACATTCATTTTCATTTTACCTTGTGCACTTTGAATGCCTGGGATGATTCGCCATCACTTGTCACAATTCCAGCACTCTCCTGGCCCCTATGGACAAAATATAATTAATATAAAGCAGAAAAATGTTTAGAATTAAATGCTTTAGCATAAAATGTTAAACATAACATACAATTTCTCTTTACAACACAAAATTTTAATTTAAGCTTATTTGTTGTTTTATTTTACAGGCTTGTAATCAAAACTGATTTCTTGCCCATGTTATGCTTTATTTCAATACAGTCACACAAGGTTTATGCCTCAGCCCACTGCATTCAGTGGGAATCTTTCCACTAATAGGCACTGGCTCAGGCTCTTAATGCGGTCTGACTTCAGTCTGGGCATAAAATAACAGCAGATGCTTAATCTGAAAAGCCACTTTGCAATGATAGCCTAGGCTCTAGTAGTAAGCTAGTAAGCACTACTCTATTTCTGCTTTGAGTTGGGGAGTGGTGCTAAGAATCTGATGTTTTTGCTGAAGGGAATGTTCTGTCTCTTCCACAGATCACCTACATAGATGTTTTTGCATTCTTGCAGTTAAGCAGTTGAGTTACCATTTACAATGCTAAAAGCTATATGGACTCTCTGATAAAAGCATCTGAGCACATCAACATAATATTGGGCATCACAGCTTCTGAACTCAAGCAAAACAAGTCTGGTACACAGCATCACTGCAAATGGAAATACTTGTCTTAGAGCAGATCTGCCTCAGGCTGGCAGTTGTGCTTTGTTGATCAGAAGAGCTGTATCAGCTGAAATGACAGTTTTCTCCAGTCTGCTCCCTGTTCTCCCCAGCTCCAACTTCCCCTTCATTCCCCTGGGGAGGGAAGCCCAGCAGGTTCACTGGCCTTGCCCTGGCAGAGGCAAGCAGAATACTGCACAGCTGCTCAAGGTTTGGAATTCAGTCCTTATCTATTGAAAAGGTCTATTTTGCTGACTGGATTTTTTTGTGGGCAACAGTGCAGGCTGCTCAGCCTTCCTTAAAAAGGCTTCCTGGAAAAAGTCTGAGTGTTACCTCTAACAAAACTGCTGCCATATACTCACCGTGCCTGTAACACTCCTAAGAACTTCAGTGGACTGGTAAGCTCCCATCCACTCTCATATATATAAGTGACTGAAATTATTTAGTAAAAGTTTTATTATAACACTAAAATTAGGCACAAAAAAAATCTCTACAGAATGTATGCTGATTTACAACTGACCATGATCATTACAAATTTTCTCCAGTTCCTAGAATCCCCATATTGGTCCTTAGTGCCAGTTGTATGTAAAGCAAAATTTTAAAGAACACTTGCTTACAGAAAATTAACCAAAACAAACTTCACACACATCTGAACGACTTTACCCATTATTGACACAGATCTTTCAAGAGAAAAATCAGAGATAAGGACACCATTAAACACATTTATTTTAACTCAGAGAGATGTCCCACCTGGAAATGGAAAGATTGGTGGCAAAGCTTAAGAGCTGATACACTGCATTCAGCGACTTTTAATTCCAGTGTTAATAATACAGGCAATTTCCATTTAAATACCGACACTGTCGATTTAAGTATCAACAAAATCAGTAGTGGGAAAGAGGGAAACAAATATCCTGAAGGCCCTTGTCATTGGATTATCTCCTTCATGTAGCACTAATGCAAGAAAAGGAATCTCCATTTCATTACCTCAAAGCATATATAATTTTACCAATGTAGTCAGACTTTTAAGTATGCAAGCTTTTTATGAAAACATGGCTAATAACCAGTGAATATATTAGAGTTAAAAATGTGTCTATACAACCATCAGTTCAAACACGACAGTACACAGAGAAGCAAATGTAAAGCAGGATGACCCCATCTACTACCCAGGGCAAATACTGCAAACTCGGAACTTTTTTGCAGGCTCAGCCCCACTGTTCCCAGCAGACAACCCAGGGGAGACAGGAGCTGCCAGACACCCACCCAGCACAGAGCCGGCAAGAGCAGGGGGTGGTGGGAGATGGTGCTCGGTTTGGTTTGTTTTGTTTGTTAAGGAGACAAGATAGTGTGCCTCTCTTTTTTACCCCTCTCCTTCCCCCACAGCGCTGGTTCTAAAGCCCCTTCTCCCCCGAAGGGTTAAAGCAGCCACCCCCAGCGCTGCCCGGCAGAAGGTTCCCCCGCCTCGCCCTGCTCCCTCCCTCCCTCCCTCCCGAGCAGCTTTATCCGCCTGCCTCTAACACCCAGCCTGCTTGTTTGGCAGTTTCTCAAGTTACTCCCCTCAGGCAGCTTGAGCCAGTAAAACTAGATCCTTTCATCTCGGCGGAGCTTACTGACAACCAGCCGTCTGGTTTCCTAGGAAACCAAATCTTGGCTAGAAATAGTGAATCATTTCCAGGTCACTTTCAACATGGAGAGTGGAGCAGGGAAGCATTGGACTGAGGAGGAGGTTAAAGCCTTGTTAAGCGTCTGGTCAGAAAAAAACATCAGAAAGCAACTCCACGGCACCCTGAGGAATAAAGGAATATTTATCTACATTGCTAAAAGGTTGCAGGAGTTAGGAGTTTGCAGGGATTGGAAACAGTGCCGTGCAAAGTATAAAAATCTGAAGTATGAATACAGAACAGTTAAATATGCTCACAACTCTGGGGATGTCACTAAATCCATGAAGTTTTTCCATGATCTGGATGCCATATTGCGATATGAACCTGTCACACAATTAGCAGCAGAAGAAAACGGCAGGTGTTCTGCGACTGAGACACAGCTGAACACAAGCCCCACAACAGACAGCATGCAAGGTAAAAAAACCTGTTTTTACTTCTATTTTACTCTCTTTGCTTAAAAACCAAAGGGAAGAAAGCCAAAGCCTGAGTTTGCTGGAGCTGAAGTGGAGGCTGCGCAGCCCCAGCAGCGCTGGTAGAACTGACTTGATGTACTCCTCGAGCAGGGGAATAAAATGTTAGCACCCACCAGTGTCGAAGTCTGTAAATACAGCGTAATTCTAGCAAAATTATGCTTAAGTGGTTGTGTTACAGCCTTGGTGAGTACTCGCTGGTGTCAGGCTCCTGCGCTCGGTTGAAATGTTTAAACTAAGAAAAGCTGTTTTATTTTCCTTCAACATTCATTTGCAGTACTTTGGAAGCAGGTTTTGTAGAGCTCCAATTCAGATATAAACTTAAAGAAAGATAAAAGCAAAGGTTGAAATTGTAATGATTTTTTGAAATAACATTTTTTGTGATACAAGTGAAATACAGGATTTATGTTCTTATTTCTCTGTAACTGAAAATTTAGGTACGATGACTAAAGGTAAATTAAAATCTTTCTAAGTAATTCAACATACATATTTGAAAAACAGGCATGTTTAATAACTTAATAAAAATTGTAGTGAGGAAAGTAGAGATCATAATGTTTATCAGACTGTTTCGAGGAAAACAACCAAATACAACTGCTTTTATTTTGAAAGGGGTTTTGCCAAATTATTTGCATCTCTTGTTTCATTCAGTTCTCTCTACATATGCATTTAAGCTGTGCTTAACATTTCATTAGGGTCAATCTGCTATTTGACATCACTCAAATCTCCTTGTCACATCCTAAATGTCACTGAAGCATAAGCTCCAATAATAGTTGTAAGTACCAAAGTAAGATGGCTAAAAAGAGAAATGCTAAGCTTAGCCATTTGTTCCCACAGTATGTGGCAATTTGCCTTCATTAAGATTGTGAATCTTTCAAAAAATTCAACATTAGTATCAGGAGATATTGCCAAAGGCACAGAGAAGAGCTGGACATCTAGCTTGCCCTTGTCTCCCTCTACAATGCTGTTTTACAAGTCTGAGGAAGAGAACTTGCCATTTTCCTTATCATTGTTTATCATTCCAAAAAGCTTGACCTTAATTTGTCACCACTAACAGAAAGTCTTTAATCTGTAAACTCACTTGAAATTAAAATAGCAATTTTATATTTTAAAATGCTCTCTGCACTGTTTAATTGCAATGCATTTATGTTTTTAAACTTGCAGAATATGGAGGGCCAAATATGTGGTTAACACAAGGTATTACACTTCTGAGGACTACATGGAACTAAAATAGTGTCCTTCATTTGAGGATCTGCCCTTAGATTACCCTCTGTGTTTTGATTCAGTTTGCACTATTAATCCTAATTCTTATCTGCCTTAGAACTCTAGCAAGTTGAAATCAAAAAAGGTTAATTTCAGTTGTGAATTCCAAACTAGAATAAAAAATTATAAATTAGTAGCGAGTGAGACACATCTCGTTTTGAAGCATTAAGACAGTCTGGTTTTAAAGGTGATATAACTAAAAATATCTCTTAAATGCACAAGCATTTCTTTTACTCCCTTAAAAAAAAAACACAACAATCCAAGTTTCATGGATAAAGAGAAATTAAATGCAACTAACTGTAATAATCCAACACTAATGGTAAGAATTTAAATGCAAAGATTCCCACAACCATCCTTCAGCCACAAAGACAAGACACCGAGATAGAAATGTGTCCTGCAGCTATGGAGAATACATGCATCCACATCAGCTTTCTTCACCAGTAACACCATACCAGAGGCCCAGTCCTTTTCCTACTGCAGTTGGAGTTGCAGTGTCTGCTCAGGGGAGGCTGCCCAGTGCAGAGCTTTGAAGGGCACTTGTCAGGTTAACATGGCACCTGTGGCTCAGCAGCTGATGTTCACAGGCTCTTTTTTGGGGGCAGATCAGATGGTGTCAGTGTCACTCCGACAGCAGGAAAGGCAATTCCCTGCACAGGCAAAGGCAGCCCCATGTCCCTGCCCCAGCAGCAAACCTGGCTGCTCCCCCGTGGCCTTCAGGAGGAAGGACACTGTCTTAATGTGGGTACCATCATAATTTTGAGAGTGCTAGAGGAACCAAGGAGGTCTAGGCTTGCGACTTGGGTAGCAAGAACAAAGCCCATCAGCAAACTAAAACCTGTGCCAAATAATACTGTACACCATACAAGTCTTATTTGAAGAACTTAGTGGCTATACTAATTTGGTTTGTTTAAAAAGCATGACAAAGGACAGGGCATGTTCCCAAAGAAATTACTGTGTTTTCACTGTTCTGCTTAGCCTCAGTCTAAATATTCCTATCTATCCTTAATGAAAAGCTACAAAGCACACATCATAGAAAAGTTTGGGTTAATCTAGTTCCAACCCCTCTGCATGGGTAGGGACACCTCCCACCAAACCAGGTTGCTCAAAGCCCCATCCAGTCTTTCCTTGAACACTTCCAGGGATGGGGCACCCACAACCTCCCTGGGCAACCTGTGCCAGTGTCTCACCACCCTCACAGTGAAGAATTTCCTCCTAATGTCTAACCTAAATCTTCCCTTTTCTGGTTTAAAGCTATTACCCCTTTTGCTATAGTTAGATGGCCTTGTAAGAAGTCCCTCCTCAGCTGTGTTTTATTTCCCTCATCGTATTAACAACTGGGAGTTTGCTGGGAAGGGGAAGGAAGGAAAAAAGAGTCTACTTTTACGGGACTGAATGGTACTCCTCCCTGAAATAGTTAATTTCTGGTAAAATTTGTTTTCTTTTGAAAGTGTAATTGAAGAAATTAATACTGAACATCACAAAAAAATCCAAGAGAGGCATGTCTCAGGACAAACTTGGTAGCAACATGCACACCAATTCCCAGTTAGTTCATGGAAAAATGACCTTTTTTTGCATAAGCACATGCAGTAGTCCAAGCCAGAGATGTTAATGATGTCTTCCCAAAATACACGTTTTTCAGAGGCAGAGATTAAATAATAATTTAAAAAGATACAAGTCAATATGGTCACTTCTCTTAAAATTTAGTTTGTGTAATACCCCTCGCCACAACCCCAATAATCAACAACCAAGAAAACCTGTGTAGAGTGATGGTGCGTTATGAAAAATTATCTTCCATTAGAGTTCAAATTAATGACCTTCCCATTTTGTTAACCTGTTTAGGTTGTTTCAAGTTAAATCAAGTATTAATAAATGAAGTAAATTATTTACAAAAGTAAAGCTCACCTAGTAATTCATGTTAAGTTACTTATGCTCTTTCATATTTCTCTGTGTTTAAATACTAATGCACCAGTCGCTTTCCTTGACCTTCACCTTACCACAGCAAATGCATAAAAATTAATCAAGTCTGAGCAGACATGCATCAGCAATGCATAAAAGATAAAAATATTATCACATGTACAAAACTCAGCTACTAGAAATGCAGCAAGATCATTCAGAAATGGCGACTTGAAAATGCCATTTAAACGTAGTTTTCCGTGTCAGGACTTGAATATGAAACATGTAATTGCCAAGTATTTTATACACTTCTCTTTAGTAAGAGTGTGCAATACTCTTGCTTAACTTTTCAGCTTGTCAGGTTTTCTCTCACTGAGTATTCCAACCTCTTTTCATGTTAACTGTTCTTATTTATTTAAAATCATTAATTGCTACTTTTAATGTTACAGTGCAATTAACCTCGCTCAGCCAAGCACCCCCAGCACACTCAGCCACCTCCCAGGGGAGCCCCTTTCCCGCTCTACTCAGTGCGGCTGCAGGCAGACCGGGAGCAGGCACCAGGCCACTGCATCCATGAGTCATCCCGAGCCTTGCTGGAAGTCAGGAGGATTTAGGATAATGTTTTCAGTTTCACATACGTCAGGGATGCCAGGTTGCATCCCAGCCGCGCCTGTTACTGTTCCTTGTGAGGAACCACTGCAGCATCTTTGAACAGGCAGCTTTGATCTTCCTGATCTGCCTGGCTGGGGCTGACAGTAGCTCATTCCCTGCACAGTGAATCAACATTTCAAACCTTTGCTTTGGTATCTGGAATGCAGTGTCTTACCACAGAACTTAAAAAGTCTGTCCTCTGTGAAAATTAAGCTGATTCACAACCTTACTTAGATATGCTGCTTTCTAGACCTACATAGGAATTGCTGTAATACTGCTTTTTGAACGACTGTAGGGCTGCTATACTGTGAAAAGCAAGACTGAATGAATCCTGTCAGTTACGAGTAGATCCATTCTCTAGTCACAATACTTGCCCTCTTTTCCTATGCCATTAATTAATACCATAGATATCCAGTACTCTTTGCAGAACATCTTTGTTTTCTTCATACTCTTCACTAATTTTTATGATTTATTTATTTTTTAATATAAATGGATTTGTGGTTATCTGAATCCATGTGCAAAGTCCACTTTTATTTGTATGTCTCCTACTTTTCATTATCTGCTTTCAAGCTATTCTTTTAATGAGCTATCCACTTCAAATACTGAGTCAGAAAAGCATACTAGTCACTAGAATCAAGTTTGTTTCTACAATAATTTAAAAATGTGTTTCAAACAGGCAGCATATGTAAGATATAATTTATTTCGTATAACTCATGTCCCCTTATGAGAACAGGCCAAATTAGTTTTAAATTTCATACAAATTAAGTGCGAAGATTACGGAGTTAATAATCTTCTCATTACGTATGGACATTTTCACTTAAACTAATTTAAAGCTTATTTAGTCCATACCTATTTTTCATCGAAAACCTCTTTCCTTCCCAGGTGAAATATCAGTTTCTTTAGAAGATGATGAGGATGCTCCAGGAGATCCACTACTTTTTATGTCCCATGTCAGACCAGTTCAACTAGGTATAGTATGATGGCACAGAGATCAAAAACTAAAAAAACTAGCATGACGGTCAGAGCACTTTTTGATAGCTTGAATATGCCATCATTCTGTTCCTGATCAACGCAGCTTTAAAATAGCCACATCTTTGCACCATCTCCTTCCCAGATTTATCACTTGGCAGTCTCATGCTTCACTGGTTACTGACCTCTGCATGGCCACCATTCACATTCAAAACACATCCCATGCTATAGCTTAATCATATTAAACCACATTAACTTTGTTAAATGCTAGTGTGTGATACCCATGTCAACTTCTGGATTTTTCTCTAACTCATGTAATTCTGCTTAAAGCAGCACGAGTGAATGGCCTGAGGCAGGAGAGATATGCAGAGGTGAGATCTGTCCCGCAGGGCAATTCCAACATTCACAGCAACTGTACCCTCTCTCCAAGTAAGGGGTGGTCAGCAATGCTGTAGTCCAACCAACCATACAACAACTCATCTGGAAACCATTCTGCTGTAGTAGTTTTGCTCAGGAAAGTCATTACAGACAAAGGCACAAAGTCTGTCAAGCCAGAAAGAGGAGGAGAACCCTTGGTGTGAGTCCCTCCAAGGGGTGCTAAAGGGAACTGAGAAACCTGAACGTATTTTAGGCAGAATTATGCAGTCAATGAACTGATTCCTTGCCTGGATGAATAGCAGCATTGTCCTGAACTTCCTATTAACTCTTTCCATTTTTCACATACCCTCTATGCCCTAGCATACATCCCAGTACAGTTACAACCCCCTTCACAACAGAATCTCCAAGTTGCTTTATTAGGGGAAAAAACAAGGCCCCAGTTAAACCTATGGCTTTTGCGTTACACACTATTTCCCTCTTGCCCAGCATAACAAGAAATTAAGGAAGCGACAAGAATCTCACATGAAATTATATGCACATATGTATATATATCAACACAACCTTTCTTTCAGCAAGTACCTGAATCAAATTTTACAGGAATATGTCCATGTTACTCAGTGCTCTTGCAACATACTGCCAAGCAGATTATTTTGGCCTGCTAAAAAATACTCAATTCTGAGAAAGCAGCTTTCTACAAAGCCAACAAAATAAATTCAATTGCATAGGCTCTCAAGTATGTATCTATACTAGAATGTCTTCCCTAGTGCCTCTCTTAGCCTTTAGATTTCAGGCACTGTTTCAGACACCACTGAAAGAAAAATGTTCAGCCCTTTGTACCTATATTGCATCATATTTTGGTTTAATTTCAGCATATTTCTCATATTGAGGAAGCTTAGGGAAAAAATAATCTGGTACAAACATATCTGTCAGATTAAAAAAATAATAAAATGTATCCTGTCTTAATTTTTAAAACAAATTAGAGCTAAAATACATCTGAGACAAAGAAAATTTTCATAGTACCCGTAACAAATTAATTTCAAAGCCGTGCTTGTGGGTAAGGTATTTTGAATCTGATGTTTTTTAAAGGGAATGAGGAGCAAAAAAAGCCCATTTTCCACTCTACATAAAGCAGAATGAATGAGCAATACACCAAGTCATGAGAACTCATTTGAAGTAATATCTACAATAGAAAGTGAGCTTGGTTGAAAATTAACTTACTAGTGAAAAATACTGGTTTACACAAAAACTAAAGAAATCTTATCTCTCAGATTGCCTCATACTTTATGGCTTTGACTGGCAAGTGCAGAGAGCACCTTTTGCATCCTTCCTCTTTTCTGCTGTGTCCTTTCTCCCTGGTCCCTGTGGCACTCTCTGGTAGTGAAGAACGATCCACTCTGGAAATGCAGATAGCTGGAAATACTCTTGGTAACACTGTGCAGAGGCTTCCCAAGCCCACCCGATGTCAGCAGTTGTGAACTGTGGCAATTCCTATGGTTACATTCACCTGTAAACAAGCATTTTCTTTCACTCTCTTAGAAAGAGATTAAGAAAGAAGCATAATAGATATGTGTCCTGAAAATTACCCTCCTCAACAACCTATAAGTGAGCTGACTGCTGCAGAGGTCTGATTAACATAGGACTAACAGGGAAAAAAAAACTGGTATCTGTTAGCACAGCTTTTTCCAACTAGAATGAATTATGGAGACTAGCAAAGAATGCCTCTATCTAGGACAAGTCTGTCCCCAGACATGTTATTATACACAAGAATGCTCCAATGAAGCTATAAGTGCAAGCAAAGGTCAGATATTTTTGCCCTAACACAAAGCTCAGTGACTATAAAGTATCTAACACCCTTAGCCTGGCTTGCCCCTTTAGAAAAAGACACTTGCAAAGGCATTTATCACTTTAGTATGATTGCAAAAAACTGTGTCCATTACTGTGTACTGTCATGTTTGCTGTCCTTGATGAAGCACTGGAATTGTGGGTTTTTCTAAAACATTATTTCCCCACACATCTAGAAAATGCACAAGAAACGACTTTCCAAAATAACTTGATAATAAAAATTAAATCTTAAATTTATGATTAGAAACAAAGAAACATTAAAAAACTGCAAGAAATCATATTTCAGGGTTTAAAGTAATTGCATGGCATCCTTTACCTCTGAATATTAAAAAATAAATTTCAAGACTGGAGAAAGTAAAAAATATATTAGTTCAGCACAGTAAGATAACGAAAATTTTAATTTTTACTAAAACCTAATGTTTTTTACTGACCTGCACTGAGGAAGGGGAGGTTCTGTACTATGAGATCTGGGTTCATCATCACACAAATATTATTGAGTGACTTAAGGCAGAAGTCTTTATTCTTGAGCTCCCCACGAAAAGGAGTTTTGTTAAGAGTTAAAGATTGGGTTTTTCAGATCCCTACCCAGTATAAAGCTCTCCATGTGTGTAAAATCAAAGGCATGACGTGAATGCAGAAAATTAAATCTTGATGCTAGTGCCAGACTGAGGGCCCACTTTATTACTATGCTGACACAGCACTTTTTATCTTCTAAACAGCACCCTTCTCATAATGACTGACCAATGAAACAGCTCACTGGTTATTCTCACAGGTTTGACAAGTAGAAGTTCAATATTTTATGGCATAGAAGAAAGAAATGTTCCTCTCAGATGAATGAAATGTACATGTGATATCTTAATACTTGTTTTCAAGAGATGGCAAAAATGATGCCAGGACTAACAAAAATGCTGACAAATTAATAACCAATAGATTGATTTTAATGTCACCTCTGCTCCATCTTTCCCCTGAAGAGACAAGTAATGAGGAAACTGCATACTTCATTCTTATTCTCTCTGTCCTTTCTCCACCTCACCCACCCAATGCAGGTAACCTGTATCTGTGTCTCTTCCCTACCCCACACGATGCAGGTAATGCAACGTCAGCAGTAGAGGCTCCAAAAACACCGGCTTTTATTCCAACAGTAGCAAACGAAGGAGGAAAACACTGGACTGTTAATGAAGTCAGAGCTTTGATACGCATATGGTCAGACAAAAATATCCAGCAACAACTGGAGGGGACAGTGAGAAATAAAAGAATATTTGAACAGGTTGCTGCTAGACTTCAAAAGTTTGGAATTGACAGGGACTGGAAGCAGTGCAGGACAAAATATAAAAATCTGAAACATGAATACAAGAGTATAAAAAGCGCCCAAGACTCAGGGAGTACAAGTAAAAGTATGAAATTTTTTAATGAACTGGATGCTATTCTGGGGCACAGCACCATGGAACAAGCAAGTAAATCAGATCATGATGAAAGTGAGAGGCCTCCAGAATGGACAGAAGCAAAATCAGAAAAGGATTCCATAGGTAAGTAATTCATACCCATATATCATTTATGACTTGTAGTTTTCCAGCACTAGAGGGGCATTAAAATAACCAAAAAAACAACCAACTAACCAACCAAACCCCCCCCCC